TCTGATTGATTGATACTATGTGAAGAATTCTTTAATTTTGTAATTTTAGCTGATACAAGTTTAAGAAAACTCAACAATCTCAACGTGACTAAATTTAAAGAAATTAGTTTTCTTTCTCTTCACACCACTGAATCGGGTTAAGAAATTTAAGTTCGTGATATGTGGTATTTTTAAGTATTGCAAACATGTTACCGTATGTGTTATTTGATTTTACGTCAATAATTGACTATAACTGATTAGAATTAACAATCTACATTAAGGAACCAATTTTGAACATGAATTGGTAACTAATAGATGTTTCTATAATCTACCAACTTAAATTACATATCTAGATGTTTAAAAAATGATGTCATGAATGACGAATGCATATGGAATATTCTAATGGAACCTTTTTTTCTATTTTAATTTGAAATTCAAAATAAATGAATAATTATTAGAATTTAAATGGCTATACATTCATTGAGTTTATTACAATAAGCGATTAAGAAATAAATATTTACTGCACCAATAACATGGTAAGAATGTGAGCCACAAAATTCAATCGAAAGATCTTCTTCCTTCTTCATCATCTTCTTTTATTATTTTTTATTAAATTCATTTTATTAATTTTATTTTTTGGTCACTTGCCTTGCTATTTTTTTTTTTTTTTGTCTATTAACAACTAACCATAATTTTTTTTAATAGATCTTTGCATTTAGTAAGTTGTTACTGCCAGTAAGTTTCTAACTAATTATATCGTGCTTACCTCAACCTATTGGTGCGCTAATATTTGTTTGTAAATTATTTACTTTAATATGCAAAATGAATTAGCGAATTTTTTTTTAATTCACATGTATTTTTTTCAAATAAAACATGGGGAAAAAGTATATTATGGCTCTTCTCTATGATCTTTACCTCAATGGCATGGATCGTACATATTTTTTATTTTGTTTGTCGTTTAAGAGTTTGAATTGGTTGATATTCATTATATTCATGGTGCTAAGTTTCAAGGGTATCAAGAACATTTACTCAGTTACTTGCATTTTCTTTTAGTACTTGAATTAAACTGGTTTTTTTTTTCTTAAAGATAATGGATGTATTTTATTTTTTTCTAAATTAGTTTAGTAACTAAACAATATTATTTGTGCAAATGATATATTTTAGTTACTGGACTAATCACTACTCTGTCTCATAATAATTGTCTATTTTTCTTGAAACTGTATATATATTTACATGATTTTGTTTTAGCACGTTGAATAAGATTGGTGCTAAAAGAAATTACGTACCAATCTTATCCAATGTACTAAAAGAAATTCTTGTAAATGATTACCTAACCAGTTAATGCCTATAAATACCACATGACGAAGCACAAAATCTGCATGGTGCTTTACGACGGGGGGCGACGATAATCTAGGCGGCGGTGGACGGCCTAAAACCTGCAAGACAGAGTTTCGGATGTCTCCCGAGAGTACACTCTCTGATGTTTAAGTCAATAATAGAATAGAGAGAATAGAGAGAGGTTATGTATGTGTATAAAAGAAAGGTGTAATATAGGTAGAAGATGTGTATTAGGGAAGAGGTATATCGAGGTGGTGTTGCCTGTTTCTGTAAACCTAGTCGGAATAGGTTTAGACAGTGACTTAGTCTTTAAGTAATCTAACCCTAGGCCCAATTGGCTTAGGGTTCAATCTGGACTCATCAAATGCCCCTAGCAAGCTATATTCTCGAGATTCGATGAGAAGAATATGGGTTGCTACGAGTGTTGATGTCTTCTCGAGTTTCGTGGTGTTGCCCCCGTTTTTGAACTCTTTTGTTCTCGGGTATTACCTATATAAGATAAAGATAGTAAAATGTCTCGAGGAGGTCTTAGTGAGTTCCTGATTAGGAGGGGGAAGCCTGTATATGCCGAATTAGGAGGATGATGCCTATATTCTTTTATTTGAAGGTGATAAGCCTATATACTCTTATTTAAAGGTGAGAAATCTATATTTGCATGTCGTGCAGGTTTTGTGGTTGTGCCCGTCTAGTAGGTCTTATTTGACCGTTGACCATCTAACGGATCTTTGTGGGTCGTGCCCGTCAAGTAAGTCTTATTTAAACTCGGTGCCCGTCTAGCGGGTCTTTCGGTCCTTTTCTGATGCGGAGTGGTCCCCGGTGCCTGATTTGAAGGGTGGCACCTGTATGTTTAGATGCTCGATATGCAATATAGTATGATGTATATATCAAAAAGATATTGTTATATGATACAAGTAATATGGTTAAAACAAGAACTATGATGTGAGTGATATATGAACTTATGTTCGAGAAGTATATAGTAAAGACAAGGTTTGAGAAGTACCTCAGTCTTGAGATAAATTGATTATTCGAGAAAGTATTACCTCGATTCTGAGAAGGTAGTTGTTGAGTAGATAAAAACCAAAATACATCTTCTCGAACACTTGGATTAGTAGTATGAATCTTCAAAATTACCCCTTGCTTCAAGGTTAAATGGGATAATCTGCAAAATGATTAAATATTAAGGAGTAAATTATAAAAATTAGAATTTTTAAGGACTGAATTGCAAAATTCAGAAATTAATGTTGATTGGTTCGATTGATCTAATTAAGTGATGACTTAGTCTTTCAATAATCTAACCCTAGGCCCAATAGATTTAGGGTTCAATCTGAACTCGTCACCTCACAAGAATATTTCATGAAAAATCATTCACTTCATACCTTCAAACGAGTAGAAATCTCTCTCCTTTCTCTCCCGATATCGATCATGCCAAAGAATAAGTCCCAAAAAGCTGATATAAAGAAAAGGGTTGCGAGTTTCTTCCAGGAAATTGAGAAATTCGAGGCCGACTTTAACGTGAAAGTGGCTGCTTTTGTCCGTGATCCCATGGACGGGAAACTGATGATTTGGCCCTCCGCAGAAGCTGCCATGCAGGGGAAGAGGAAGTCCGGTGACGTGCCAGAGAATGCTGAAGACAAGTCCTCGTCCGGCGAAGATAAAAATGAAGAATAGAGATTTGTTTAAAGAATTCCATTTATGGTTTTCTTCTCCTTTTACTTTTTAATGCATTGTAGTGTTGTCTATCCAAATCGTTTGGAATAGAGAAACATATGTCTGTTAAGGGTCATTCCTCATCATATATCTGTCTATCCAAATCGTTTTGGTTCTTTAAACATTAAAATGATGAAGAATGATTTGAGGTTAATTATAAATTAAGAGACCTTGTAACTTTTAAACAATCAATTAAATGGTTCTGGATTATAAACTCCCTGAATTAATTTGAAAAACTTCATTATGTCATAATTTGTGGCTTACTTAGGCATCTAGTCTTGTCATGTCAGTGGACCTTTGGTGGGATCAGAATTCAAAACAAAATTAAATAAACTTGATTTGAAGTAGACTTATACTCAGAGCTCCTGAAAACATCTTCCACCCAAATCATACATAACGGAAGCGGATTAGAGATCCTTTAATTGAGGTGAGATGAATCTCGTTATAATCGCTTCGTGTCATAATCGTTTTGTTTTACGATTGGAATTACTAAAACAAAAATAAAATTCTAGATTTCTTATAAACTCCACATTGCTTCCATACTAAACTAATATATATATATATATATATATATGTATATATATATATTGGATCTATTTCTAAATTGTTGAACAAATTTGTATTTTTGGAGTAAAGTGAATGCTTCATCAGCCTGATAAATCATCATTAAAGCTATGAGATATGATTGTTAGCGCGTTGAAGACAAACCTAGTAGTAGGAAAAGTACTAAGAACCTTATTGGAGCTTAAACTGTGTAATAAATTCTGGAATCTTTGTTATCATTTACGATTCCGAACAACGAAAGATTTTTGTCTTTCTTTCTTCTTTTCCTAAAGAATAAAAAATGATGCTAATCTGGTCTAGTAGTTATAGCTCCGAATAAAATTGTCTCTCTATCAAAAACCTTGATATTTCTTGAAAGCAACGTTCAACTTTTTTTACAAACATTTTTTATTTTTTAAAGTGACACTAAGAACCTCACCGGAGATAGGTAAACCCACGTCCACTGCAATAGCTTGCAAACCACAGTGGAAAAGCCCGAGGTGATAGGTTCGGGTGCAAAATCGGAAATTCATGAGTGATTTTGTTATAACAATCCCCTAGAGGTGCCGATTGGCAATGTCAGAGTCACACCTCACTCCTATTGAAGTGTGGGTTTTGAACTCATAATCTCCTCTTGAGAGTAAGGGTGGTTTTACAAATATTTATTCCTTATAAATTTTATATTATTAAACGACGAGTTTTTTGACCAAAAAAATGCCCTAGAAATAGGAGTAGAGAGAATACAGATCGAATTTAGGAGAACAGAAAACTATCGGGATCGGATTCCTAAAATTCGATTTTCCCTTTAATTCGGATTTTGTAAATCCGACTTTCCTTAAAAACGAAAAATTAATTACATTATTCATGATTAACAGAAGGTCGAATTTTTAAAATCCGACCTTGGTATATTAAAAAATAATATTTTAAAGAAAAATACTTAGATTTTTTCCGAATCGAAATTTTGACCAAACTCGGATTTCAGAAATCCGATTTACTCTCGAACAGTACTCGGGTCGGGTTTCAGAAATCCAATTTACTGTTGAACAGTAGCAAGGTCGGATTTTTGAAATCCCCGTAAGGTAAGTTCGGATTTTGAAAATTCGGGTTAGTTGAACAGTGAAATCCGACCTTGGACAGAAACTTAGAAATCCAACCTATCACAACAGCACCAAAACCAAATTGCACGCATGAAATTGTCTAAAAACACATTCGAAACACATCATAACAAACATTAACTAGTTAAAAAGCATTCAAATTTCCAAATCATCCAAATTACAACTAATAAATATTAACGAGTTCATAATCATAAAAACATCCAAATTACTCCTAATACACATCAGAGAGTCCTACAATGAAACTACTTGGACGCCCTTTTCTTCCCTCTACCGCTAATAGAACCGGGAGTATACTTGTTCGCGTGTTTACTAACCCTATCACACTTGCGAACCTCGGCCGTTTTCTTTTTTCTTTTGGGAAGAAACACGAGGTAGAGGGGACTCTTCTTCTTCTTCTTCTTCTTCTTCTTCTTCTCCTTCTTCTTCCTCACCCTCAATGTAATAATCTTCATCACTTTGATGGTCTCCATCATCTTCTTGCATCGGAGACGGATTGGGATGAACTATCAATCTTCGATATCGAATTCTCGGTTGTCGCCTCCTCCTTCCACCTCCAGTAGGTTGAGATACTATTTTCTGCGTGAGCACAATATTTCCACTTGACTTCGGTTGTTTTTTCTGAAGAACATCACTATCTCTCTGAGTACTCATATTATTTGGGGCCAAAGTCAAGGCACTGAAACTCCTATTGACAATTTTTAAGAGTTTTTCCTCGAAACTACCACCGAGGCCAGGATTTGCCCGTAAGGTGGATTCAAGAAGATGATATATGTCGCTTAGATTTTCTGTCTGCAAAATTTAAACCATGTTAATAAAGTATAAAATATAGCAAGGTAAAAAAAAATACGAGAAAGTTTTAAATTAAAATAGCGACATAAATCTTACACAAAATCTCTCCCGGGATGAAGACGAGTGATAACCATGTGCCAAAGTGCCGTATTGGGTGGGATCAGTAATGAAACCATGGCATGTAGTCTGTTGTGCACTGAGGACCAAGAGCCGGATCAACCAACTCATGAGGGATAACGTTCTTTTCTCTCACATTCAATGAGGTTGTACCTCACTGTGTTTTTGTACCCAATCATCATATGCCTTTCCAGTCTGTAGGCCCCCTCGTGTATTGCTTTCCAACGATCACTGTTACGGATTAACGGGGACTCTAGCATAGCTTGCTTACACCGATACTGACGAAGGATCCAATTGGGATCGTATGATTCTCTGACGGCCCAACAAAAGATCCACGTCCTGCAGAGGTAGATATGAGTCCCCACTTTACAGAAATCAGGGAGAGCGTCGATGAAGGGAGTGTATACAGTCCACAGAAACTGGCTAAAATTGAAATAATTTTTAAAAATATATATATATGTGAAGAAAAAATTGGTAAGACTAAACTGTATAAATGGTCCCCTACATTTGTCCGAATTTAAAGTTTGGTCCCCTACATCAACATGTATATGGATTGAGGTTTTACATTTCATTTTGAAACTTTTTTGGTCTCATTTTACTGTTCCGTCACCATTTCCGTCTTGATGACCGTTGACCCTACCAAGTCAGGGGTATTTTCGGAATGACACATATAAGATCAAAATAACAAATGTTTAAATGGTCCCCTACATTTATCCGAATTTAAATTTTCGTCCCCTACATCAACATGTATATGGATTGAGCCTTTACATTTCATTTTGAAACTTTTTTTGTCTCTTTTCACTTTTCCGTCACCATTTCCGTCTTGATGACCGTTGACCCTACCAAGTCAGGGGTATTTTCGGAATGACACATATAAGATCAAAATAACAAATGTTTTTATAATAAAATAGAATAAAATATTTAAAATTATTATTTTATAATAAAAAATTAAATAATTTAAAAATTAAAATAAAAAATTAAAATGATTTCAAATTTGAAATTTCAAATTTTTTTTTTTCACTTCCACCTTAGTGGGTCTCACATGGTAGTCAATTTCTCCCCTTTTTTTTTGCTACCTTAAAAAAAATTAAAATTAAAAAGTAAACTTACCTTCACCCATCTTTTACCTTTACCAGCAGTAACTTGGTAAGAATAAAATTAATAAATGGCGTTTCGGATTATGAGAATAAAATTTTTAAGGATAAAGATTTTATAAAAAAAAAGTGAAATTAATCTTTTACCAGTCAATGTCTTTTCACTTTTTTTTTACCTTTATTAATTTTATTCTTACCAAGTCACTGCTGGTAAATGTAAAAGACGGGTGAAGGTAAGCTTGCTTTTTAATTTTAATTTTTTTTACTATAGCAAAAAAAGGGAGGGAAATTGACTAGCATGTGGGACCCACAAAGGTGGGAAGTGAAAAAAAAATTGAAATTTGAAATTTGAAATCATTTTAATTTTTTATTTTTATTTTTAAATTATTTATTTTTTTATTATTAAATAATAATTTAAAATATTTTATTCTATTTTATTATAAAAACATTTGTTATTTTGATCTTATATATGTCATTCCGAAAATATCCCTGACTTGGTAGGGTCAACGGTCATCAAGATGGAAATGGTGACGGAACAGTTAAAAGAAACCAAAAAAGTTTCAAAATGAAATGTAAAGGCTCAATCCATATACATGTTGATGTAGGGGACCAAAATTTAAATTCGGACAAATATAAGGGACCATTTATACAGTTTAGTCAATTGGTAAAAAAAATAGGAAAAAAATAAGAAGGAATTTTTATCGAGTAATAAAAATCAATACTTACATCACCATCCCTTAGGCTAGATAACTGATCCATGATGCCAGCTACACAATGAGCGATGATATTCGATTTGGATTTTGGGCATTTAGACCTATGAAGGAACGGATTTCTAGTTAGATTAATTAAATTTAAATCTAAAAAACTAAAGTACACATAAGAGGAAATAATAAATAAGAAATAATAATAAAATAAATCTATAATTACCTATTGGCCAGTGGAGCGCCCGGCGTCAAGTAATTCTGGTCTTTAACTTTTCTCTTCAGTTGAATTCGTGGGAAACGCTCCCAAGCCCATATCTGAAATTATAAATCAAAAGAAAAGGCATTAATTAGAATAAAAAAAAAATATAATAAAAAATATAACTAAACAAAAAACAAAAAGATGTACCTGCATCAATATATAGCATCCGGTAATGTCATACTTATCGGGCGCGGAAGCCTGACACAAACCAAAGTACAATCTCGCCAACACAGCTGACCCCTAACTATAAGTAGCACAGGCATCCAAATCCTCTAGAAGACACAAGATCCAGAGCGGTATTCTGTTTACAGTATTGTCAGGAATCAAGAAAGAGCCAACCAATAGTAAAATTAAGGCACGAGTCCTCTGTGTATAGGCCTCTCCTGCAGCATTTTCTTGGATCGAGAAATCACATTCGGCAATTAAACACTCTGCATAAATCTTATTCCCATCAAACATGTCATGAGTGGATGTAAAGTCCCAACAAGCTAAAGCACATCGCCATCCATTGTGCCATACTCTTCACAGGTGTCATCCCGTCCACAGGCATACCATCCACTCTCAGACCTAATAACACCTCAACGTCTTCTAGAGTGATAGTAGCCTGCCCAAAATGGTCCTCGAACACGGCTGTCGCCCTATGATTGTGATAAAGGTATAACAAATCACCATCTATTGGAGCCGGAATAAAATGTTGCATTCTAGATTGGCGAGGAGCTCGAACTCTCTATTTTTTAATCCTACAACATTTATCAATATCAAAGAAAATGGCAAAAGAACAACAAGCTAAGAAAGAAAAAGAAATGACATAAAAAACTGAGAAATATATGCATTCATCATGCAATCATAATCCTACAATTGTTGCAAAAGAACCATACATCATCAACAAGTCATTTCTAATATCATTAAGTTTGTGGTGTGATATTTAGCTAAATGCACACTAAAGGAGCAGTATCACTTCCATCAACATATCATAAAGACTAAATGACAAACTGAATTTAGTAAATTTAGCATTCCAAATGTTCAAACTCAATAGATCAAAGCATCATACAACATCATCATCATCATTACACCATCAAAAAACAGCTACAACCACACTCGACAATTATAGGTTGTGCCAAAAAATACTTAGGCTCTGTTTCTATAAAAAGCAATCATCCCTCATTATCCATCACTCACTACACATAGTCACATACTACACCCCTAGATAATATTAACAATCATCCCTGAAAAAAAGAAAAGAAGAAAGAAAGAAAAGAAGTGAACAATTACCTCTACGCCGGGGAAGGTCGCCGGTGCTGGGGGAGTGCAGGGGAGACTCCCTGGTGCTGGGAGATTGCAGGGGAGAGTCACCGGAGTCGCCGGTGTCTCCGAGAGGGGATTTGCAGTGGTGGAGTCAAAGTTGATTTGGAGTGGAGGCACAGGGTTTTAGAGTGGCGCCGGAAGGGGATTTGTAGTGGTGGGTCGCCGGGAAATTGATGGGTTAGGGTTTGATGGGCCACCGGGAGGGGGATTTGCTCTGGTGGGTCGCCGGGACGGGGTGTAGTTGACGGTTAGGGTTGGAGAACAAGGGGGAGTCGATTTTGACTCCCCCAATTTCGGGTCAAACGTTTATATACTACCCGAAGGCCTCTTTCTTAAATGGACCTTGGACAGAGAGTTTGGGAAATTAGCTGCAAATTTTTGCCAAAATTCGACCTTCACTCGGAAATCCGATTTTCACTATAAATTGGATTTTCAAAATCCGATTTTAACACGAAATCGGATTTTCAAAATCCGACTTATTCCCTAAATCGGATTTTCTAAGTTCGACTTATACCCTAAAACTTAAGACACACTTTAATAATTGTTGCCCCTGCCCTTTTTCAACAAGTACTAACATCAATCACAACATTTGACCTCTCCGTTGGTCCACTCCACAACAACAATAACTTGTTCATTCAACAAACTATTATATTAAGCATAAACTACATTTCAAACGAACTAAAGCATAAATTACAATTGAACATTAAACATTGTTTTGAGACAAACAATCCTAGTCATTGTGAATACCATCGGCTACCCTATTGATATGAGCCTTGTCCTATTGGATTTTTTGTGTGATTTGGGACACGCAGATGTGAAATAATTCCTTGAACCACATCTCAAACATTCACCCCTCGATTTGCGTCTCCGATAATCCATTTGTATTTTAAATCTTTTTTTTTTGTCAATGACTTGGCCCAACATGCATAATAACTCGCTCGTAGTTAGGAATGAGTCTCCATCCAACCTTAGGCCATTTTCTCTTATCAGGAACCGGGGTAAAGTTATCGTGCCCACTGAATTGGTCTTGCCAAGCAACAACCCTGAAATGTGGATCCACCGTATTGATTGGTTGATCTTTTATCTTCCGACACATGGCTAGTGCATGTGAACAAGGCATCCTATACTCCTGCCACTTCTTGCACGAATAGTTCTTCTCTTCATATTTCACAGTGTACTCATCGCCACCTTTATTACCAAGTCGGCTTTTACTTTTCACCTTGAACTTCCCATTAACCGCAGTGTAACACTTGACTTTGTGTTGCACAGATTTGTTCTCTTTTTTCAAGAAGTCTTCCCACAAGTCGGTTGGGAGGGGTGTAATGCATTTCCTCGACTCTACGTATTCTTCCTGAAAAAAATCCACAGTCTCCAAAAAACTAGCTTCCACCAAAGCTCGGATCGGCAAGAAACGAACACCCTTGAGGACGTTATTGTAACTCTCTGAAATGTTAGTTGTCTGGTTACCCCAACGATAGTTTTTGTCTTTTGCAAGCGTCCACTGGCAAGCATCAATCTCCTCGACATACAAATATGCTTCATTATCAAAGTCACGTAGCTCTTGCCTTAGTTCTTTGAATTTAGTCTTTGAAAGTTTTGAGCCCATGTCCCAACACAACCTCTTGATCTTTCTACTTCGAAACCGAGCCACCAAGTTACTTCGGACGTGACGAAGGCAAAACCGGTGATATGCATTCCATTCGGACATTAGGCTTATTGCACTGGTAACACCCTTGTGCCAGTCGGATATAACACACACAGGACGGTTGTTTATAATATGATTCCTCAAATGGTTCAAGAAGAATATCCAACTTCCCTCACTCTCTTCATCCAGGATCGCATATGCAATTGGCATGATGCGCTTATTCGCAGTATTGACCATTGCAGCGAGTAACTTCCCTTTGTATCCGCCACGCATGTGCGTCCCGTTGATACTAATCCCCAGAGAACATTTAGCAAAACAACCAATTGTAGGCTTGAATGCCCAAAAAACGTATTTGAACGTCCTTTCTGTATTGGTCCAACCCGGTTACCATTCCCACTCTACAACTGTGCTGGGGTTGCTCTTCACAAGGACGGCGAAAAACCTCAATAAATTAATGCTTATTTTAAAAGAAAATTACAAACAAATCAAATAACTTAGATAGGACTTAAGTAAATACCTTGAAAGTATGTCAAAATTGGAAACCAAGACACCGTAAACAAGATTGATAGCTTTTCTCATTCCCCTCCATGCCCTGTGGTAAGGAACATCGACATGTATACATTCTTTCACTTCTTCCTGAACGAGCTTCACTTCATAATCCGGGTCCAACTCAACCTTATTCCTTACGAGATGAGCAATAACTATTGCGCTCACATTTTGATTATTGTTATCCGTGGTGGGATTCATACAATTGTGCTGGACACCCATGTCACAATCTCCCACAAACCGTGGTCTTTCCAGGAGGCACGTACCTTCCAATGACAAGGAACATAACCCTTAGGGGTTGACTCTTTTAGGGATTTGCACCAATATACCAAGTATTGCCGTCACTTTTCTTCACATAATACTCTCTTTTTTGCTCTATGTTCCACGGTCCTATACCATTTTTTGGATCGATCTTGTTCTTAAAACACGTCCATTTCCCGATTGTTGCGGTTGTCCCATCCCACATAGTAAGCTGAAATTCATCCTTGTCCACTTTTGTATGATCCCATTTACCCTGTGAACGATATACGTGCATGTCATTTGTGGCGAATTTGTCTTCAACCACTTCATCACGCTCCCGACTCCCTTCGGATATTGATTGGTCTTCATCGCTTTGTTCACTTATCGATGTGTATTCCTCATCATCTAATTCATCATCTTCCATGTGATCATCTTCCAAATAATCGACATTCTCTATATTCGGCCCACCACTACTTGTCCCTACTTTTAAATGAGACCTAGAAGTACCCGCCACCTCCAAATCCCTTGCAAATTAATATATGTCGAATTTGGAAGGAAATATAAGAATTGCAATGATGCGTCGTCCTTGATTTTGGCGATACGCCTAAAACCATTGTCCATCGTATCATACAAAATTGAGAGACTTGAATTCACATTCCCTCTATTCCACCAGCTCTTTCACAAATCAATCCAACCAAATCAAAGTATGATGCCTTATGATCAATTACAATGGAATCGTCGGGCAAGTTGTTAAAAGTATTCACAATTTTATTCTTCACAACAAATTTGTTCGACCAATAGACATTAATGAAATATGGACCATTAAACGCTCCATCTGTTGATTACATGAATTAAAGCACATTTGTCAACAAATTATTACCAAAAATAACAAAACAAAGCATAATCAAACAAATTATTATAACAAATACCACGAACAAGGCATAATCAACACCCAAATTTATTAAACCCCACTATAAATTCAAAAGTTGAGGGCAAATTCAAGCATTTTACTGAATTAGACGTTCAATACCACGTATAACAACAATAATCACCAACTAAACCCAACATCAACCCTAAAACCTTAACATTCCTAGTTCTACACTTTTACAAAAAAAAAAAAAAAAAACAACAACAACAACAATAATCTAAAAACAACAAAACAATAACTAACCTTCTTGTGAAATGGATTTAAGACATCCGTTGTGAAGAATCGTGAACAAAATCTTCAAATCACCACCAAAATCGCCTCCTCCTTTAAGAAAGATGAAGAATCCCGATCTGTGAATAGTATTTTTTGTTTTCCCTTTATATCAAAAAAAGGCCGGATTTGTGAAAATCCGATTTTATAAGTAAAGTCAGATTTTCCAAATCCGACCTACACATAAATTCAAATTTGTTAAATCCGACCTTTTGCCCGCCAATTCCATCCACTGAATGCAAATATCTACCGGTTGGTGTGCTTATATAAGGTCGGATTCAGATATCCGATCTTGTAGTGTTCATAATTTTCAATCTCTCGCCTATATTTAATTTTTTATTAAAAAACGGTAAATCCGACCTTGTAATGTTTATTATTTGACTGTTATTTCAATTTCTTTTGACATGTATTTTTTAGAAAAAAATTTATTTTATTAGGTCAGATTTATTAGTAAATTGGATTTTGTAAATCCGATCTCGGTAATTTTCTTTCAAAAAAAGGAGACCAATAGATCTCTCTACTTCTTTTTCTAGACAATTTTTTAACCAAAGCACCCATTAAATGACCATATAAATTTATTATAAACATATATTTTAAGTAGATAATTTATTTTTATTTCTTGAATGTCAAGAAATCAATGTGAAGTATCATGAATTAGTAATGATGATCAGATCGAACTTAGAATGAAGAACAAGAACACTGAAGCAATGTTTTCTGGAAACTTCTTGAATACTGAATCTCTTATTCATACGAATATTCTGTACAACTTTTTAATCACAATTACAGCCTCTATATATATACATAATCTGAGCAACTAACCTCCTGATTATTTACACTCACTAAACTAACACAACTAATCTATACTGTCTATTTACAATAATCATGATTAATCCTACGATTGGTGAATCAAGGCACCTTGTATTGCTTGGATTGATGACTTGGATGAGTGAATATTATGGAAGCTATGAGAGCTACATTCGTTCCAGGACCACAGCAGTGCTGATGAAGCTCAAAGGAGGAAGAATGCGCACGTGACTCTTCATCTGCCATGCATGCAACAGCTGTAAGTGGTCCTGCTTCTGCTGACATGGCATTCTCTTCTTGTGATGATCCAGGCGATGAATGTAATACCCTCTTCTCAAGTTGAGAATTCCAAAGGCTCGACATGGACAAGATGTAAGAGAATGAAGAGATAGGGAAAGATTTGGTGAAAATGTTAGCAAGTTGCTATAAGGTGGAGATGTGTTGAGGTAGAATAAAACCATCCTTGCACTTATCCCTTAGTACATGGCAGTCTATCTCAATATGCTTTGACCTTTGATGAAAGACGGGGTTAGCAGTGTTGTCCAATGCTGCTTGATTGTCACATAGAAAAGGAATAGGAAGATTCAATGGAATCCTGAAATCAGTCAAGATATAGCTCATCCATTGAAGTTCTTTGACTGTGGCAGCCATGGCTCCATATTCTGCCTCAGCCGAAGAACAAGAGATGGTAGCTTGCTTTTTTGCTTTCCAAGAGACCAAGCTGCTTCCGAGGAACACAAAGTTACAGTGATGGAATGCCGAGAAGTTTTGCAAGAACCCCAGTCGGCATCATTGTAAGCTTTCATGGAGAGATCAATAGCAGTTGGATAGGAAAGACCTCTTGAAACACATCCTCAAAGATATTTGAGAATACGATGGGCTGCACTCCAGTGAGAATCATGAGGATGATGAACAAACTGACTTAGTTGTTGAGCTGAGTAAGTGACATCCGGCCTGGTATAGTTCAAATACAACAACCTTCCAATGAGTCGCCTATATTTTTCAGGATTGTGGTAAAGAGGAGAAGGATCTTTGTCCTTAGAAGGAAACTTGAGATCCTTTGGAAGAGGTATAGCAGTTGGAGTACAATCAAGCATGCCTGTCTCTTGAAGCAAATCAGTAATGTACTTCTTTTGGCTAAGGTAGATTCCAGAAGCAGAACGAGCAATGTCCATGCCTAAGAAGTATCTTGCTTGACCAAGATCTTTGATGGTAAAAGCAGCATCCAGAAAGACCTTTACCTTATGAATTTCAACATCTGATGTTCCTGTAATAAGAACATCATCTAGATACACCAGGAGAAACAACTGATGATCTGCCTGTTGAAGAGAAAAAAGACAATGATCATGGTAAGACCGAGTAAAACCATAACTGTGAAGTTTAGAAGTAAACTCCTTGTTCTATTGTCTGCTGGCCTATTTTAAACCATAGAGGGACTTCTTTAGTCTACATACTTGACCTTTTGTTGCCTTGGTATAACCCAATGGTGGATACATATATACACCTCTTAATCTATGCTTCTAAGTAGGAAAGCATTATTGACATCAAGTTGGTAGACAGACCATCCTTTAGAAGCAGCAATAGCAAACATCATTCTAACAGTAACCATCTTGGCCACTGGTGAAAAAATCTCGGTGAAGTCTTCTCCCTCCACTTGTGTATCGCACTTAGCAACCAATCGTGCTTTATAGCGTTCTACTGAACCATCAGGATTACAATTCACCTTGTATACCAACTTAGAACCCACTGCTTTCTTTCCTGGGGGAAGAGTAGTAATCTCCCAAGTATGATTATCTTCAAGGGCCTTAATTTCTTGATTCATGGCATCAATCCACTTCTGATTTGTTCTTGCCTGGTTATAATGAGTAAGCTCACGAATAGCAGATAAATTGGCTACAAATTCACGATATGCATGACTAAAGAAACATGTCTGGTCAGAAAAAGGAAAAAGAATCAGGTAGAACTTGACAATGAAATGTATACAAATCATCTAAAAGTACTGATGGCTTATGAGTTCTAGTGCTTCTTATAAGAGATTGTATAGGAGGCTGATCAAGAGAAGGAGAGGAAGATGAAGATGAAGATGAGAAAGAAGGTTCTGAATTAGGATTTAGAGGAGAGTTATGATATGGTGTTAAAAAAGAATCATCTTCATCAGGAATAGAAACAACTGGAAGAGGAATATCAGTCTAAGCTTCTGATAAAAAAGGAAATGTTATTTCATGAAAAGCAACATCCCTAGAGATAATGATTTTCTCAGGAGATGGACAGTATACTTTGTAACCCTTCTGCCCTTTGGGATAACCAACAAAAATGCCTTTAAGAGTTCTAGGATCAAACATGTCCCTGCCAGGAGTCCTGGTTCGCAAAGTCGGGATTCTAACCAGAATCATTTTGGGGTTAGAATCGCAAGCCATAGAATCATAACTTAGAATCGTAAGATTCTTAGAAAAGCTTGTTAAATTTGTTGGGGTAGTAGTAATTATGAATTCATGATAGAGATTATCTATGTAATTTAAAAATTACTTTCATTTGACATTTATGCATTTTTAAATACAGTTACTTAAATTTAGGTAATACTCGCATTAGCAGTTACAACTTGATAAACAAATATATAAAGTCAAATGTCTCAAATCACAAGTAAATGTACAATTTCAAACTCCAATAGTTTAATTAAAACATATAAGTACAACTTTTGTCATTGTTTCCTAAAAATACAACATCAAAGCATATCCTAAAAGAACCAAACTAAAAAAAATCATATTCGAAATCAACAACAATTTTAAAACCAAATTATTCATCATCAATATAATCATCAGCACCATAATCATTGAAGCTTTTGTTCCATCCCGCAAGATTTTCGTCATGAGGAGATACACGCTCATCAATATCACGGGATGCCCCAATCATAGAAAGGTAATTTTTAGGAGGAGGAAACGATGCTTTCTTTTTTTTTTTCCGGACGGGGAGTAAATGAAACCGTGAAGTACTAAAAGTGATGGGTATTGTAGATATGTAGTTAATGTTTTTATTTCATCAGTAATTAGTGATTTTTACATAGTGTGAAACTCTAAATTAAAATTTTATGGCTCAAAATTCAGCCCCACAAATTTAATTTAATAAAAAAAAGATCCAAAAACTCTCAAATAGTGAAATTTCTTAGAATCATAAAATCGTAAGATTTTAACCATTTTAAAGATTCTAGCGAGATTTTAAGATGCTTACACAAATTTAGATTCTAGTAGACTTAGAATTGATATAGTACATTAAAGTCGTAAAATTGTAAATTTTAAGACTTAAAGTTGGATTTAAAAACTACGGCCAGGACCATTGTTTACTGCAAAACAAAGACATCCCAAATTTCTAAGTAAAGATAAATCAGGTTTGGTATGAAATAATCTTTCAAATGGTGACTGCCAATT